GCGCATGTTTTGAGTGTGAGCATTATAAATTTTGAGTGCAAGAAGGTGAAATTCTTTTCTCAAATTGAAATTATGTGCTCTTGCATTATGGCAGGATAATTCTCCCATATAAATGCAACCTAGTTGTGTCTAAAACTAGAAAAGTGTTCACTCTTAGTTTGCTGCAACAGGTCTCGGTTGCACCTCCAACATGCAGCCTCTGTTCCCCCCACCTAAGAGGAAAGCTCCTGCTCCTAATCTTAAGCAAACAGTTTCTTTTATCTCATTGAAAGCTATTGAAAAAAGTCCCAACTGATGTTGGTAGAGGAAATAGTCCCAACATCAGACAGATTGTCCGTTCAGCTACAACCAGCAGCTTGACACCCATGGATTATACCGTATTATATATAGAAGTGGACAACATTTCTTTTCAGTGCACAGAGCAGTTGATGCATGCTGCACCGGAAAACGGTTGAGTTGAGTGAACAGCATGAAAGCTTTAATGCATTAGGATCTTCAGGATGTATGGGTTGGCATTCATACAGCAGAAAGGAGAAGCTAACAATGAGATGGGATGCACTCAAAATGTGTGTGTGTCTAAGAAGGCGTGGGGGGGGGGGTAAGAATGCCTGTTTATATCGAAGGACTGTATCACGAGTGCTGACAGCCCTATCTATGTTTCATTGTGCAGAGACGGTGGGATCCCGGCGGGGCCCAGCCAGTCTGGTCATAGAGAAGTCCCCCCCCCCCACCCACCGAAACACAAACTCAACTCCTTTCACCCCTTCAGCTTTAGGCACGCTTTGAGCTTCCTCTCCCTGCAGGGACGACATGCTGGACTGTGGTGTAGCAGCATTCTTAGCATAGAGCAGGAAAACGGGAAGCAATGAAAAACTTCATTTCCAACAGATCTGCAGTTAGATTTTCTCTAGTTTTTGTTAAATCTTCCCCAATTACATCTGTAGGGCTTTTTTATCCGGTCTGGGATTTTTGCTGAATGCATTTATGGCATATAACAACAAATTGAAATGCTTTACCCACAGAAAGTACAGCTTAAATAGACACTAAGTAAACCAGGCCCACATTTAGCGTCTTAATTAATTTGAAAGAATTACAGAACACTCAAGGATGGATGGATGGTAGTGATTATATGATTTATTAATCTAAGAAAGGAAGGCCACA